TTAACAGTATTAGAATTACTCTTTAGCCCAAACATATAGTTAAAATAATTCCAAACACCTTGGGCCACCTCACTTTGAACAAAAACATGTTCAGTGGTTTCCAAAGAGGATTGAGAGCAACATAAACATTTGGAAGGTAAAGAGTACCCAAACCTCAGTAATATGGAATCAAGGGGCAGTTTCCTAAGAAACAAGCGCCAACATAGGAAGGAAGCTTTAAAAGGAATATATGTCTGCCAACAGTTTTTGATGTAAGAATCTGCTTGTCCATTTGGCTGAAGGAACTGCTTTGCAGCCTTTAAAGTGAAAACACCATCCATTTTTGGCTGCCATATGGCCTTATCAGTGAGGCCAGAACCAAAAGAAGTAAGATTCACATTAAAGTGAATGAAAATTCCAGGATCCATATACTGTTGGAGATGATCAAAATTAAAAGCACCCAAGCCAGTCCAGTTGTCCCACCAGAAGCTCAAAGTCCCTGAGTATATTTTCCAGTATATATAAGGTTCAACCTTGGGTTTGATGAGTACCATCCTTCTCCAGATATGAAACTCTCCATACTGCCAGACTTTAGCAACAGGGTGAACTCTTTGACAATACTTAGCCTTCATGAAGATGGACCAGGGACTAGAGGTAGTTCTAAAGTTCCACCACAGTTTAGCACTGTAAGCATCCACCATATCCCTCATTCTAGTAAACCCCAAACCCCCTTCCTTAACTGGGTAACTCATATGGTCCCATGAGCTCCAATGATAGTGAGTTTTATTCTCAGATTGCCCCCAAAAGAAATTGGAAAAGCTCTGTTCCATTTTGGCAAGCACCCCTTTAGGTGGTTGGATAGCAGAGAACATGTGGGCAGGAAGAGCCTGAAGCACACTTTTGATTAGAACTTGTTTTCCTCCAAAGGAGAGGAGTTTCCCTTGCCAGCCTTGGCATTTTTGAGTAATTCTGGATAGAAACCTACTGAAGTAACAAACCCTCATTCTCCCTTTATATATGGGACACCCCAAGTAATAAAAGGGGAAGGTTTGGTGCTGTACTGCAATAAGATCAGCAACTCTCTTAACAGTTACCTCAGCACTCTTGGGATGCATGTAAAAGGAACTTTTATGAGTACTGACTAATTGGCCAGAAACATGTTCATACAGGTGAAGATCTTCCATGACTTTAATAATAGAATTCCTTCTGCCAGAGGTGAAGATGATCATATCATCAGCAAAAGCCAAATGGCTAATAGGTTGAACTCCTTTAGGTTGGGTAAAAGGGACAATGCCTTTGTGTTGAATTCTGTTGTCAAGCAGTTGAGACAAAAATTCAGATGTGAGAATGAATAGACTAGGGGATAGAGGGTCCCCTTGCCTAAGGCCTCTGGAAGAAGTGAAGAAACCCTCCCTTTTGCCATTAACTAAAACAGTGTACCAAATGTTGGAAACCATCCTGAAAATGAGATCAATCCATTTTTCATAGAATCCCATTTGTCTCTGAATTTTATTAAGAAAGGCCCATGAAACCCTGTCATAGGCTTTTGCCATATCAAGCTTCAAAATAATATCCCTCTGTGCCAATTGCATCCCATGACACAGCTCTTGAGTAATAAGAATATTTTCAATAATAGATCTTCCTTGCACAAAGCCAGATTGTGAAGGAGAAACCAACTGAGGAAGAATACAAGACAATCTGGTAGCCAAAACTTTAGAGATAATTTTACTACTAAAATTGCATAGGCTAATAGGTCTGAAATCAGCAAAGGAATTAGGGCTGTCCACCTTGTGTAAAAGCACAATGGCAGTGTGGGCCATGCTTTTAGTGAGATAATCCCCATCAAAATAACCACGAACCACGTTAAATATTTTGTGTGCTTTTTTTTCTTTTCTTTCCATTTGTTTGCAGTAGGGGGGTTAGAGTTTTCACCCGAGGCAAAGTGTGCAGCTCGTCCCCTTTGATTCACACGTTGAAGTTTCCTACAATCACGCTTATAATGTCCCTCTTTGTGACAATAATGACAGATTATGGGCTCTTGATTCTGTGGGGTGCCACTACGAACGAATGACTTATATGGTTGCTTTGGTGACTCAGTTTGCATCCTCTGACCTATAAAGCATTCTGGGGTGCACCATCTGAAGGCTCTATGGGTTTTACACTTTCACTACGTTGAATCCGTGAGTACCCATCGTGTAAAGTGGGAACCTCAGAGTCTGCGAGGACCCTTTCTCTGGCAGCCTCAAATCTCGGGGCCAAGCCTGCCAAGAAACTCATTGTTGCCATCTGCTCTCGCTGTTGTTGCTGAGTTTTGACATCTGGAGTGAAGGGCATCAATGAATTTAAGGCCTCATATGTCTTCTTGAAGTCCATGAAGTATGCTTGAAGAGATTGATCCTGCTGGTCTGCCCGATAGAAAGCCTTACATACATCATAGATACGAGTAAGATTTCCCTTACCTGAATATAGAAATTCCAAATAGT